TTGAGCCACAGGCGCTGAGCCTGTGGATATACTTTTAACTGCCATTGTCTGCCTACATTCTGGTTATAAGTTATTTACATTATTGTGTGTATGTACAGTTATCCCTCCCAAGGCCATCAGAAGCTTTATCTCATTACTATGTTAGCTTAAAGTCTGGAATATATCATATAAATCAGGTACAGGTGCTGATGTAGCTCCTTGAGTACAGCTTTCCCCCCCTCTTATGTACAATTTTTCAAGTATAGTTTTTTGTTTGTTTGTTTTTTAGACAGAGTCTCACTTTGTTGCCCTTTTTATAGAGTGCCGTGGCATCACAGCTCATAGCAACCTCAAACTCTTGGGCTTAAGTGATTCTCTTGCCGTAGCCTCCCAAGTAGCTGGAACTACAGGCACCTGCCAAAACACTCAACTATTTTTTGATTGTTGTTGTCATTGTTGTTTAGCAGGCCCTGACTGGGTTTGAACCCACCAGTCCTGGTGCATGTGGCGGACACGCTATCCAAGTATAGTTCCTTTTTTTTTTCTTAAGAGACATAGTCTCACTTTATCACCTTTGGTAGAGTGCTATGGTGTCACAGTTCATAGCAACCTCCAACTCCTGGGCTTAGGTGATTCTCTTGCCTCAGCCTCCCGAGTAGCTGGGACTATAGGTGCCCACCAGAATTCCCAGCTATTTTTTGTTTGAGTTGTCATTATTTAGCTGGCCCCAGGGCAGGTTTGAACCGCTGCCCTTGGTGTATGTGGCTGGCACCAAGCCAAGAGCCAAATCTTTTGCTTTCTCTCTTGATGTGTTTTTGTAACAACACCCTGGATTTCATCTTAGCCCAGCAGTTGTTTCTGGAGAGACTGAGTTTTCAAAGCCCTCAGTTCCCTACTTCAGTCTTCTCTTGCATTTTACTATGAGCGACAAGAGGAATCAGGTGCTACCTTCAATACTTTTACTGAATATCACCTTAGATAGATCTCTGAGTTCACTTTGTGCATTTTGTAACACTGTTGCTAAACTTTTGTTAGTGTGTCCTTCACTACACCTTAAGCCCTCATCTGCAGTGTCCTCAAAGTCTAGGCTTCTATGAATAGTGCAGGGCTCGTCAAACTTTGATAAAATCTCACCTCAAAGTCCATCACCTTTTGCCACTGCCTGGTCCTAGAGTTACTCCCACATTTTATGTTTTTGTTATACCAGTATCCCACTTCCCAGTACCAACATCTATGTTGATTACTTATTGATGCAAAACAAATTATTCAAGGCTTTAAAACAGCTTTAAGTAACAGACATTATTATCTGACAGGTTTATGGGCCAGGAATATCAAGATGTCAGCTCATGGGTGTTCACGGTGAACTTGATTAGGAAGATCAGCTTCCAAGATTGCTTACTCTCACAGCCACATGGTTCTTTCTAGAAGACTGGTTGGTTTTCCTCACAACATGGTAGCTAGCTTCCTGAGTGATCCAAGAGAAGGAAAGGAGGAACCTCTAAGTACTTTTATGTCCTACCTAACATAAATGTTACATACCTTCATTTCTAGTACATTCTGTTCATTACCATTAATTATAGCCCACCTTTAAAGGAAGGGGAAATAGGCTTTGCTTTTTGAAGGGAAAAATTCGTGAGCATGTTTTGAAGTCACCACAGTGGTGGTATATTTTGGACTGACTTTTTTTCATTTTGCAGTATTAACAAGTGTTACCCAAATTAATATGGACTGAGCATGTAGCTTTCAAGTTTGTTGCTTGAAACCTAAACAGTATACATTTATTACTTTGTTATAGCATATTTATCAGTGATTTCTAGTCTTTCTTTGGAGATATTCCACAGTTTATAACTCTAGGGATATTAATTAATTTTTAATATCAAACTTTTTATGTACGATGGAGCTACTCATTTATTTTGTCAACAGATATTTGAATGTTTTCTATATGTTTTGGCATACTGCTAGGTCCTGAGAATACAGAGATTATAAGTTAATACAGGATCTCTTTTAATAAAGAGCTCACAGTGTAATAGTGAAGCAGGTTTATAAATTATTGTGATAAGCAAAATATATTGCATAGTGGTAGCACAGTGGCACCATGGCATAGTGGCAGCACAGAGAAGAGAATGAATAACTTTTGTCAGGTTAGAGAAGGCATAATTAAAAGCTCAGTCCAAAGGCATGAAGATTCAATCAACTTGTTGTATTCATAGACTTGCGAGTAGCTTAATATTGCTGGAGTAACTCCTGTTTTGCCATTGTTAAATGTTGACATACATATCCCACTTGATTTCCAAAATTTTTTTTGAGGTGGTTACTTGCTGGCTATCTAATGTGAAACCAGTAAAGGGCTAGGTACTTATAGGCCGATTTACATGTATAGCATACAGTATTTTTTAGGGGCATTTGAGAATATTAAACAGTAGTCTTTGATAATTATTAATCTGATACAACATGCTTACAATTGCATTAACACTTACTGCCTGCAGCAAACATGTCTGATAAAGAGCTAAAGAAGCTACGTAATAAACAAAGAAGAGCACAAAAGAAGGCCCAGATAGAAGAGGAGAAAAAAAATGCAGAAAAAGAAAAACAGCAGAGAAATCAGAAAAAGAAGAAGGACGATGATGATGAGGAAATTGGAGGTCCAAAAGAAGAACTTATCCCTGAGAAACTGGCCAAGGTAATTAATAGTGTTTACACAATTGAGTGAAATTTCATGACCAGCCATAGTCATTTATATGCTGTCTTATTTGATCAATATGATTATAAATTTTAGAGCCAAAAATGGTTTTAATTTTTAGTTTTGTTAAAATATTTTGTTTCTGATTGTATTTCATGCTCGAAACTTGTAGTAATGGTCGTTGTCCAGATTCATCCAGTGTGGTATATAACAGAAAACATTTTAGCTTTTGAGTCATTCTGGTCTGGGTTCAGATATCAGCTCTTTCACTGTGTGCCCTTGGACACTTTGTCTAACCTCTCTGATGGTTTTCTTGTCTATAAAATGGGAGTAAGAAAATCCTTACTAGGACTAGAGAAGACATCTGAGTGAAACATCTAGTATCTATTTTCAGTGATAATGTGCAAACTTTTATTCCTAGACCAAACTGAATTTGTTATAAACTGAGGACTATATGTGTATCTCTCACTAGTGTTGTCAGGTTTACATTATTTCCTACTGGCCTTTCCTGTTTAAACCTCATGCCTTTAAAGTTCCTAAATGTTTTCCCCAAGTCAAATCTGACCTGCTACTTTTAACCAATAAACTGAAACTGAGGTGTTCATGGTCTCATGAATTTGATTAATGATATTCTTGTACCCTTTCTTAAGACTGACATTTTCCTACTCTGTATGAAAATAATTGCATGGGTAGAAGGTGGCAAGCACCTGTAGTCAGTCTCAGATACTTGGGAGGCTGAGATGAGAGGAGTGCTGGAGTTCAGGAATTCAGCTTGGATAATATAGCAAGACCCTCTGTCTTCTATATAAAATAATAATTATATAATTTCATACATTAAAGTAATATATTAAGTAAATTGCCTATGTCTTACTAATTTAGCCTCACTAGGAAGTAAAAATTCAAAATCATTTCCTTTACTATTTTATAACTAAAGAAACTTATAATACCAAAGCTTTGGAGAGTATGTTTAGAATTACACCAGATCAGGTGGACAGTAATGTTTCATAAACATAGTAATACTGCTATAAGAAATATGGAAACAGGCTCAGCGGCTGTAGCGCAGTGGTTATGGCACCAGCCACATGCACCTAGGGTGGCAGGTTCAAACTCGGCCACGGCCATCTAATCAACTGCAACAACAACAACAAAATAGCCAGCTGAGGCAGGAGAATTGCTTAAGCCCAAGAGTTGGAGATTGCTGTGAGGTGTGACACCACGGCACTCTACTGAGGGCAGCATAGTGAGACTTTGTCTCAAAAAAAAATATATGGAAACATCTAGTTTGGATTTCACAGGGCATGTTGATGTATTTTCATAAATAATGGCATACCTGCTAGGAACAAACATATCTTTTTATTGTTTGAGATTTTATTGTGAGAGTATAGAGAAAAACAAGAAAGCACAAGAAGACTGACCTTTCAGGCTTCTTGGAGAATTGCAAAGTCATTCAGGGCGGAAAATCAACCTAGGCCTTCCGTCTTTATGCTTCAACTTCATTTATTACTTCTGCTCTTACCACCGTTACTGACTGCCTTCTGCCCTCACTTTTTCTAATTTTGCTTTTTCCTTTGTCCCATGACACTTTCCTTAGTGACCTTTCTCTTTGTAACTCCTTCTGTCTTCATATGGTTCTTTTTTTTTTTTTTAAGAGACAGTCTTACTTTGTCACCCTCAGTAGAGTGCTGTGGCGTCACACAGCTCACAGCAACCTCCAGTTCCTGGGCCTACTCGATTCTCTTGCCTTAGCCTCCTGAGTAGCTGGGACTACAGGCACCTGCCACACACAACGCCTGGCTATTTTTGTTACAGTTTGGTCCGGGCAGGGTTTGAACCCACCACTTTCCATATATAGGGCCGGTGTCCCATTCACTGAGCCACAGGCACCGTCTATCTTCCTATGGTTCTTAATGAGAGGATCTATTTGGAGTATTTCATCATTGTTTAATTAAGATTATACTTATAGAGCGGAATTCTTGTACCAAGCCTACTTGTGTAGACTGTTAGGTTTTCCTTATTTCCAGGACACAGGGTTGCCTTTGGACCAGATGTCAAGCTGTGGTCTTTGTTTTTATTGCTAGGTTTGCAGAGTCTCAGAAAAAAATACTTACAGAAAATGCTTTTGATTGCTTTGTTTGGAAGGAAGTTAGTTGAAGGCATTCTCTTTCATGTTCCTTGGTGTATGTACTATTCTTGCCAATTACACACAAAAGAAGGCACTTCCTCTTTTTTTTCTTTTTTTTTTTTTTTTGTGAGACAGCCTCTTAAGCTGTTGCCCTGGGTAGAGTGCTGTAGTGTCACAGCTCACAGCAATCTCGAACTCTTGGGCTTAAGCGATTCTCTTGCCTCAGCCTCCCAAGTAGCTGGGACTACAGGTACCTGCCACAACGCCCAGCTATTTTTGTTGTTGTTGTTGTTGCAGATGTCATTTTTGTTTTAGCTGGCCTAGGTTGGGTTTGAACTGCCAGCCTCAGTGTATGTGGCCAGTATTCTACCCACTGAGCTATGGGCACTGCCAAGACACTTCCTCTTAGATGGCCACGCCTAATCTGTACTTACTTATATCCCAAAAGTGGTGACAAAGCCAAATTAAACCAACTTATCATAACTAGGCGTGTCATTGTTGTCTGTTTTAAAAGCTACCTGCCAAGTTTGGGTCTTGAATCTACAGTGGCCTATTTGGGATGATCCTATATTTCATCATTCTTCCGTGGCAAATTTCATGTCACCAGTTCAGGATAATATACAGTCATGTGTTGCTTAACAACAGGGATACATTTTGAGAAATGCATCTTAGGTGAGTTCATCTGAGAAATGTGTCCTTAGAGGATTTCATCATTGCATGAACATCATAGAGTGAGTGTACTTACACAAACCTAGATAGCCTACTGTACTCCTAGGGTATCTTGTATTGCTTATTGCTCTGAGGCTGCAAACCTCTATAGCGTGTTACTATACTGAATACTATAGGTAGTTGTAACACAATATTAGTATTTGTATATCTAAACATGAAAAGGTACAGTAAAAATAAGGTATGATTTTACAAGCCTTTCGTATATGCAGTCCATCATTGATCAAAATGTCAGTATGTGGCATATGATTATATACATATGTACAATAAACCAGAATATTACCAAGTTAGTAGTAATTCTAGTTAAGATGGAGGAAAGGAAACTGGAAAAGAGTTCAATTAATAAGTTTAATGTTCAATTAATTATAAATTATAATTAAAAAACTTAGGTACACAAGAGGAGACATGAAAATAGGTAGGAACTATACAGGGAAAACAGTTATAATCAAAGGCTTGTGTGTAATAATTTTCCTTTTGAGATGAACCTCTAGCCCAAAATATCCTGGTGGGTCTTCTGAGAATTAGGAATGCTAGAAGAGTTTATAAGGGGAAAAGTGGGTGTAGGCTGAACATTATAGAAATTTTGCTTGAAATAAAGAAACTTGAAAATATTTAAACCTCCCCCCCCAACAAAAAAAAAAAACAAAACTGAGGTCTTAGTTGAAGCGGTATCATGTGTTTCTCAACAGTTGGTATTTATAAATTCCCTTATCTGCTACTCATCCTGTGTTCCTGCTTGCCTTCATTTGCCACATCTGAATTGAATTTTTCTTTTCCTGCTATATATACACAACTTTCCTTCCAAGGCCTGTGTGTCCTTAATACGGTATTCTTCCTGTGTAGGGTTTAATTGCCTTAAACTTTTTGTTGCTATGCTAGAGAGATATACTTCTGTACAACATATCTTAGCACAAGGATTATATTTCAAGTCAGTTTATAAATTTAAAAATTTCATATGGTTGCAACTACCCTTGCAAATGTCTTAAATTGCCCCTCAAGCACAGTACAGTCCCATTCGACATGCATTTAACCTAGGTGAATTCAACTCTTCACAACTATCTGTTAATTTTTTCTTAAAGAGAGACAAGAGGCTTGGTGCCTGTGGCTCAAGTGGCTAAGGCGCCAGCCACATACACCTAAGGTGGCGGGTTTGAATCCAGCCCGGGCCCGCCAAACAACAATGAAGGCTGCAGCCAAAAAACATAGCTAGGTGTTGTGGTGGGC